TACCATCAGCTTTGACTCGCAGGTGCTTTCTCCTGCATAAGCTTTTATTCTCATACGCTTTGAATAACATCCGAAATATTCTTTCGGGCAATTTTTTTTTTAATCTGGAGAAACAAAAGCTTCGTGCCTAGAAAGCTCCTCATTTACTTTCTAGTTAAAAATTTTTTTTCCACTAAAATTTCATAAAAATGTAAAATTCCTGCAAATTTCTTTAAAACTTTAGAAATGTAATTAATTTCGAAGCAGTAAATACATTTTAAAAGCGAAAATCATGTGCGCTTAAGCTTTCACGCTAGTGTTACTTCAAAGAAATATTTGCCCAACAAATCAACTAAGCCCTCACACGCATGTAAACTTGTGCACATTCGTAAGAGATGTGTATTTGTTGCACAAATGCTTTATTGTTATTTGAAAAGCGTATATTAAATCCGCTTATAATTTTCTTTTACCTTCCGAAGAGCATAAATAAATAGTGAATGACAAGTAAAATGGTATACACATGTATGCATATAAGTATGTAACTGTACATATGTAGAGTGAGAGACACACACAAACATATTTCGTCGTATAAAGTACAAAACCGCGTATCAACAAAATGCAAAACCGCGTATCAGCAAAATGCAAAACCGCTTATGTGAAGTTGTAAAAATTATTTTCTAGAGCGTAAAAACACTCATATTTCAAAATGGTTCTCTTTTTTATAAAGCAATCACATTTCTGGCTAGTATATTTTTAATGGACAAGGATTGAGCCAAGAGCTTGTGTGAGCAAATCCAACTTTTGGCAGCCAATGTCAGTTACGCGGTTTTGCAGAATGACGATACTCGGTTTTGTACTTTAAACGACGATGTGTGCTTCTGTGAGCTTTTCTTTCAACAAATGCTTGTCATTGGCTGCTTGTGCCTTGAAGTATCCCTGCAGTGAAAAATTATCAATTGTTAAAACTAACCAACTTATAGTTAGCTTTTTGGCGAGATTTCGATTAATACCTCACTTTTAATTAGCTATGACAAAACCAACTTAAAGTGAATTGTAAAGTCGTGCAGGAGTCATGCAGACGCAATCGGGAGTTGGTTTTCTTTACAAGTTTCTATTAAATATCCTCATACAAAAATTACTTTCAATACACTTTTTTTCTGAACTTCGCAGATTCTTTTTTATATTCAGGACAAATAAAAGGAAGATCGAAATTTTATACTATCATTTTGAAGTTATGTCTGACGGTGTTCGAATATGGGGCTACCCAGAGCAGAATATGTAAACAAATATGAAATGTAATAAAATAAAGTAAATAAATAAGAAAATAAAAAAGTAAAAAAACAAAAAAATATTTTGTTTTTCTTATTGATATTTTATGTCCAAAAGTAGTTAGTTACAAGTTAGTTGACATGTAATGCAGAGGTATCCAGGTCTGACTTTTTTGCGGTCATCGCCCCACAAAAGTAGTTAGCTTTTCGAACAAAATACACAGTTAATAGTTAGCACTAGTGTTCGCGTAAACAGACTAAAGTTAGGTATAAGCTAACGTCACTCCCTGCAGGGTACATACATAACTTTTGCAAGAAAAACCTTTCTGTAGAAGAAATTAATTCCTTTAACTCAGACTTGTCCACTCCATAAACATGTGCGTCGAGCTTCTAAGCTTTTTGCACAATTTTTATCGCTCTAGAGGGAGCTTTTACTCTGTGTAACTTAGGGATATATTTTGGTCGTGACTAATTTAGATTGACACAGGGCAATGATTGGCAAGGACTGCTTTGATTCATAAAAAAAAAAAACATTTTGAAAGTAAAAGCTTTTCATAATTACACATGAATTCTTATTTGAGCTCATGAAAATTAAATCTCGTGGATTCTATCGAAACCAAAGTGGACAAAGAGTAACGGATGTTTGCACCAAAATATATCNAATTCTTATTTGAGCTCATGAAAATTAAATCTCGTGGATTCTGTCGAAACCAAAGTGGACAAAGAGTAACGGATGTTTGCACCAAAATATATCAAAAAGCCTCGCTTCACATCCAAAACTAATACAAGCTTTAGTTTAAAATGATAAAGCTTTTGAAAATAAATTATTTCAATCCTTAATTCCACTTCCAGTTGTATACTCTTTAGCACCTTATTGGAGCAAAATAAGAAGTAAAGGCTTTTAATTTCTATCTGCTTTCAATGAAAACTCTATAATTTATTACAGTATTTGGTGACTAAAACTAAAAAAAAAGGCCTTGAAAATTTTTAATTTTTATTATTTACGTTTACAAAGCTTTCTATACATCTCGTATGCACACACACGGAATAAAAGCTCTATCTGCTCACCTCTGCTTTTAAGGAAAGCTGGGGCTATTTAAATAAAATGGCCCTTAGTTATAGACAAGTTAGAGGCAGGTTTTAACATTTAAAACTGTATATTAAGATAAACACTCTTTTAACACTGTCATAGTCAACTTAAAAGACCTTTTAACTTTAAATCGGCGTTTTAAATTTAAAATGAGGTTGACGAGGTTTTAAAATCTTAAAAGCGTACTCTAAGTAGACGTTTTCCTGTCAAAATTTGCGGATTGGTTACTTTTTTCATTTTATATTAATGGCCCTGTTTTGTGTCAATCTAGCAAAAACCTGCCTCTAACATGTCTATAACTGACTAAAACTTAAAGGCTGCTCTAAACTTAAAGATTAATTTTAACTAGAAGAGGTTTAAACTTTCGACTTTAACTACGGGCCAATGTGTACAATAAAAATTTACGACATTTGAATTTAATTTGGTGAACACACAGTTTTAGGCTTCTTGCAAGCAGTACATTCGAAGCTTTGGAGAGTGAAAGCTTCAGTTAACTTCAAAAGCTAACACTGATTTCTTCAAATAAAGTTTGGAAAACCAAATTGAATGTTTTAATACAAGTTGAGGTGCTTGCGACATTATGCTTCCTCGGAGCGGTCGATTAGCTTTTTACACCGTTCTCAGCTGAAGAAAGAGCGATATTAGCAGGAATTTTTCTTGTTTTGTCCTGGTGCATAATACAACTCAAAGAATCTTCAATTGAAAATAATTTTTAAAAATCTCTTCAGAATCCTGGTAAATAAATTTTTCACTGTCCGAAAATTAATTACTCAACATCTACCGCCGTCTGCTTAAATTAATATAAATTAAAACCCAACTGCCAACTATGAACTTCCAGTCGGCAATCAGCCAGCGAGCTGTCACCGCGCGCACTCTTCCTTTGAAGTGAAAGTCGGCTTAAGCGCGCCTTTTATTAATTTCGATTGTACTTTTTACCCGATAAATTATTTTCAGCTTTTCTTTCAGCATACATATTTTTATACATATCTATACATTAGGGTGTCTCACAAAAAAAGTTGCGATTTTTCCACCGGATATATAAAATTTATTATATTTATATGCCTGTAAAGATCATATTACTTTGATAACGTTGTTAAAATTTGTAAACGTTTTTATACACACCTATGAAGCATAACTCTATCTTCTGAAGTGAATTTTTGGAAAAACTATTTAAAAATAAAAATTTATTAATAAAAAAATAAACTCTATTTTTAGAGCTATTTTCAAATCGGTCCAGCTCACGTAAATCTTAACATTTGTCGAAAATATTTTGGCGGATGTCTTTAAATATAATACATATACAATTATAATTCCGAAGGAAAAACGGTACCGATGTTTTTTTTTTATATTTATGGAGAGTAATGCACCCTAATATACATATTTCTTTTTTATGCAGCACATTTTTAATCTTTGCTCTTTTTTTTATTACTTTGCACTTTATTTCCATGTAATGTCGCCACGCTGCAGGGTGCTTCCTCCAGTCTTGTTGTGAAATTTGCCGATACTGAGAAGGAGCGACAGATACGACGTATGCAACAAATGGCGGGTCATATGAATTTACTTAATCCCTTTGTCTTTAATCAATTTGGACCATATGGAGCTTATGCGCAGGTAAGTAGGCAACATAAAAACAAACAAATGAACAGACAGCCAAGCAGGCAAGCCAATAAGCACTGTGTTGGTGATGGTTATGTTATAAAAACAACAACAACTACAAAAACGCGAGATATAAAAACAATAGCAGATAATGTAAAAGAGTTTCTTAAATAAATGAGCGATAAAAAGTATAAAAAACGATACGTCTATAAAAAATCTTTACAAAAAACAATACGCAGTAATTGATTTCGATTGTTTTTGTTGTTGTAGTTGTTGCTGCCATTGATGCTGGGTGCATTGTTTTCCACTTACTTTTATTGTTCATGTCATTTGCTTTCGATGCTACTCTGGCTGTTGTTGATTTTGTAAGTACTGTTGTTGTTGTTGTTGTCACATAAAATGCCAAAACAAAAGACAAGCTGAAGTTTTATTGCAAAATAAAAACAAAAACGTACAAAAAATTTTTAATGTAATCTGTGGAAGCGCAAATGAAAACAATGCTAAAAGCCGTGGAATAATGGACGCAAAAACAAGGACAACAACATTAGCAGCAGCAATAGCAGCAGCAGCATCAGCTTCAGTAGAAATCAACGGCACGTAAAGTGCATTAAATAACGGCGACATTGGCGTTGATGGTGGTCGGCAGCATAGCGCAGCGATCCTGACACCCAAGTTTTTCCCCAACTTTANAATTAAATGAGCGATAAAAAGTATAAAAAACGATACGTCTATAAAAAATCTTTATAAAAAACAATACGCAGTAATTGATTTCGATTGTTTTTGTTGTTGTAGTTGTTGCTGCCATTGATGCTGGGTGCATTGTTTTCCACTTACTTTTATTGTTCATGTCATTTGCTTTCGATGCTACTCTGGCTGTTGTTGATTTTGTAAGTACTGTTGTTGTTGTTGTTGTCACATAAAATGCCAAAACAAAAGACAAGCTGAAGTTTTATTGCAAAATAAAAACAAAAACGTACAAAAAATTTTTAATGTAATCTGTGGAAGCGCAAATGAAAACAATGCTAAAAGCCGTGGAATAATGGACGCAAAAACAAGGACAACAACATTAGCAGCAGCAATAGCAGCAGCAGCATCAGCTTCAGTAGAAATCAACGGCACGTAAAGTGCATTAAATAACGGCGACATTGGCGTTGATGGTGGTCGGCAGCATAGCGCAGCGATCCTGACACCCAAGTTTTTCCCCAACTTTATCACCACGCTCGCCATGTCGGTCTGTCTGTTGCACGCTCGCCTTTGGCCAGCGTTCGCCTCGTAAATTTCGCATTTTTATTGCTACTTTTGTAGCGAAACCAATTTAACTGCAACTACATTAAACTCTCAGCCCCCGCCCCCCCCCTTCGTCACTCTCAGCACCACACTTCCTTAACGTACTAACCGCTTCCGTGGCGCGTACTCGATCTACGCGCCTCTCACCTTCAACGCTGCATTCACCACCAATTGCTTGCCTTATTTATGCGCACAACTTCATCATTTGTATACTTTTGCATTTCCGTTTCTCATCATTTTGAGCTCATACCCTCGAATATGCATTCATCATTTTCTTCTGTATTTAATGTATCTGTGTGTCTTTGTTCTTTTTCTTTCTTCCTCTCTCGGTCTTTTTCTTCTCTCATCTCCACAACTATAGCAACAGCAAGCCGCTTTAATGGCCGCCGCTGCCACTGCACCCGGCTCTTATATGAATCCGATGGCCGCATTGGCAACGCAAATACCTCATGGCTTAAATGGCACCGGTCAGCCATCGCTGCCCTCACCGACCATGCCAAATTTCAATATGGGCGCTCAAACGCCAAATGGACAACCGGCTGCTGCAGCGGCCGCAGCAGCTGCCGCCGCCGCTGATGGCGTCTTTACGAATGGCATTCCGCAGACGGCATTCCCGGGACGTAAGTACCATAAAAAATAAGAAAAAAAACGATATAGCACAAACAGAGCTGTGTGTGTATGTGGAAATGAGTAAACTGTGTAAATATTTATTAAAGTCAACAAATTTTCAAAGCGATGGGTTAATATCTGCCTTAAATTACATTTTCTACTTTGCTAAGAAAAAATCAATCAAGCTCAGAGAGAGCTTTTACTGTCGGTGCGTCCATATAAAAAATGTAGAAAGCTTTAAAACGCTAGTCTTTGAGATAAATTTGGTTAGTGTGTGATTTTGATACAGTCTTTTTATTACCATGATTCAGAAGACTCTCCACGAGTGTGCCACTGAAATATGTTTTTTTATATTCAGCGTTTATCAAATTTTAAAAACTTTTTTCAGATTTTGACCAATTTAAAAAATTTGTCACACTTCAAAAACTTTTGTGTTAAAGCAATGGCGCCCGTATTAGATTTAGAGAGAGCTTTCAAAAGCTTATTCTGTGGCATTTGTTAAGGTTGTGACTGTTTTGTCAAGAGCTTTTTATCTGTGATTTCAATTTCAGAATTGGATTTAATGTATTTTTATTTACTAATATGTATATGTATTCCTTACACACACAGCATCTCTATTTCTCTTCCTAACAACTCATATCATAATTTTCTATAGACATATTTTCTATATTCACCACAGATCCACTTCATTTAACGATTCCACCACAAGGTCTGCCAAATGGTGATGCTGCCGCCTTACAGCATGCCTTCACTGGAATGCCACCATTTCCAGGAGTTGGTAAGTTCAACTTAGCAATAACAATAAAACAGCTCAAACCGTTAACTATGAAACTTTTAAGTTGTTATAGAACGCCTAAGCAGTTAAGAGTAAAACAAAAGCGATTATCTTATCCTTAGTTAAGACGCATTTATTAATTTTTTTATAATTTTTATAGAATAAAAAAATAGCTTAAAAATCTAAAGTGAAATTATTAGGGAATATCTATAATTTTAGGTTTATTTGTAAAGCAATCTTCTTCTGATTTGCCCATTCCAAATGTCATAGTTAATTTAAGTTTTCGTCCATCACTCCATTATCAATTATACTGCAACTCTTTTAGCTGTTATCATTTTTTGTTGTATTTTGTTTTATTTTTCTTTTTTTTCCAATGCGTCATGTATCGCTGTTATTATTTTTGTCTTTGCTTACAGTTTTTATGCTTTTATTTCATATTTTAAAAAATGTGAGTTTACTTTCTTGTTTTCATTTANTTTTTTTGTTGTATTTTGTTTTATTTTTCTTTTTTTTTCCAATGCGTCACGTATCGCTGTTATTATTTTTGTCTTTGCTTACAGTTTTTATGATTTTATTTCATATTTTAAAAAATGTGAGTTTACTTTCTTGTTTTCATTTATTAATTACTTACATATATAATTGTGACAATCACACTCATTTCTCGATCTCTATTTCATTGTTATTTAATTGTTGTGTCATGCCATAAACAATTCCTGAACATATACTTATTGTTAGCTCAAAGCAATATTTATTAAAATGATATTGTTGTTATAAGTATATTTATGCGTTTTTCTTTCAATGTTGATTATTATGTTTGACGGGTTAATTTTTTTCCAATACAAGAAAGTGAAAAAATTCAATGCGAAAAGTGTAAAGAAAGAGGATAAGAAAAATAAAACAACAAAATTAGTTACTTGTGAAGAATTTATTCACCTACTTTTCTTGTTAAAAAAAAAATATAAGTCCAACAAAATTACACATTTTCCAGTAGAATATAAACACATTTATTTTTACTATTCTGTAGCGAACATTTTTAAAGTAAACAGTTAGCTAAGAGACGCCGTTGCAGGCATAATAAGCTCGTAGTAGCAAAGAGTAAAGTATTTTTATTCAAAATTTTTAAAATTTGCGAAATTTTAACGATTTTCGAAACTTTTCCATTTATACGGATTTTTGATGTTATCTTAAAGCAGTTAAAACATCTATTTTTGAACTTTAAGAAAATATTTTAGAAACGTTTTTATATTTTTTTATTGATATCCCGATCATTTAATAGCCCTTTTTTATTTTAAAAAAAATCGCATAAACCTCTCTCGGTATAAAAAAACATTGCTATTACATTAAATTTTTTCACTCCACGAAAGAAATATTTGACGTGTTCATTATTGCCAATTACCAACTATATGTTATTTATAATTGTTTATTATTGTTAAATTTGTGTTCCAACTAATGAAAAGAACCATTCAGTATTGCTGTGAAATGTTTAATGGTTTAACAATTTTTTTGAGACTAAGGGAAAAATAACAGCGACAAAGTTAAGTGGATACGAATTTGTGCTTTCACATTTCCAAAATCAAGCATGCACTCTTGACTTAGATTTTGTGCTTAATTGAAGCTTTCTTACGACTTTTGTTTCACGGCAAAAATCAAGACTTCGCTCTTATAGTCTAAGATCCGACAATGGCACGACCTTCACCCACCTGTTTAGTGGATGAAATCTATTTTGTAAGGAATTTAACGTGTTAATTATGTATTTTTCGCATAACTTTGGACCACGTGAACCGATTTCTATAATTCATTTTTTAAAGGGAAGGTGTTACCTCACAGGTGATCCCATACTAATTTATTTTAATTCCGGTCATTGGATCATGAAGAAATTAACGATAATCTTAAATTTGTATGTTTGAATTGAAGTCGGTTTTGTTTTTTGCTTAAAAATTACTTGTTTAATTTTATACTCATTTGTTTAATGAACAAGTTATATACCAATCGCAAGTATTAAGCCTATAGAATGTGAAAATCTTGTGTTGTCTATTTTTTTCCTGGCCTACCTATCGGGTTGGCAGGTATGAACAGTTAGGTAATACTAGTAATTTTCACTTATCTGTTTAACACAATCTATAGGATTTATGCTTTCGATTGCTATATATGTAATTTGCTCATTAAACAAATGAGTGCAAAATTAAAAAATAATAATAGTTTTTGAATATTTAATTCAAAATATCTTTGCCAGGATTTTTTCAGCCAACCACTCGCGAAATATTTCCTAACACGTTAAATTTCATACAAAGTAGATTTCATCCATTAAACAACTGCGTGAAGGTCGTGGTGCCCTTGTCGGATCTCCTACTATTAGTCGTGAACACACAATATGCAACAATAAGCGAAAATTATTGAAAGCTCCTGTATATAATTTATTTTTTCCTAAATCAGACTATCAATAAATAGGCATAAGGAATGAGTGTGAATAATTGATATTTTGCGCTTAGATGAAGCACTGTAAAATCAAGCTTTTACTCTTAAACTTCGCACAGACAAACTTCAGAATAGCACTCTTCCTACGTAGCAAAATACTTCACAGCAGCTTACGGTTATGGCGAAAAATTTTAATCAAATAGATACCTACGGTTATGGCTCTGGCATTATAGTGTGGCATAAACAATCGTTTACAGAACTGCGCGTACGTTATGGATATGGTGTGGCACCACTAATTCAGCCTTTAGGCATGTCTTTCAATCTTTTTAAAGCTTTCTGTTCATATTAACGTGACAGAAATAGGGTGCAAGCTCACTTGCTTTATTCAGTAATCTGCTTTCTTTTTCACTACAGAGGAATTTCACTTACTACAGTAAACTTTTTGAACTTCTGCAAAAAAAATCGTTTCTTTGGGTAAATTTTTTTAGAACTATCTGAAAAAAAAACAAAAAATGAAGGGAAGCAACAAACCTCAAATTATGTTATGTAATAGGTATGGGCATAGAGAGATATTTTACCTTTGCATGCCCATACCGAATATATGTATAAAAAGTTCAAAAAAGTGATGCGTGGGCAAGCCGCTGAACATTACTGAAGTATGGAGATGAAGTCTCTAAAGCTTATTTTAGGCAAATTGTGCGTGACTAAAGTAAAAAGATTTTGGATAGAGCTTTAATGGCTCCCTAGAAAACTTTAATTTTGCATGAAAGCTTAAAAAAGGGTCTGCCTTGTACGTTGATTTGGTCAACCCAACCCAGTCCCTGGCCCTTTCTTCAAAATCTAGGCTACGAAATTACTGCTGTAAGCGACCTTCTGAAGTTTGCAATTTCCGTATACGACTGAGGAAAGCTTTAAACTCTCCCATAGTATATTAAAGTGTGACTGGAGCAATCTGTCGCTGCTATTTTTTCAACTCACCTATTAACATAACATACTTCTCAAACACTACTAACTATTTAATATTAAACAATAAAAAAAAAATTTACTACAAAAATTATAATTTTTTTATGTTCCTGAGTATCTAAATATGTACATCAATATTTGTTAATATTTATATATTTGCAAAGACGTATATAAATATTGTTCAAAATAATAAACTTTGATTTTATATTGTGTGATTTTAATGTGTTTCTCTACTCTTTCCATTTTTCTGTTTCATTTGTTTGTTTTTTTTTTTTCTTTTGGCCTTAAAATTACATATTTACGTATACATAAATTATAAACGTTGTGTTGTCTCATAAATGTTTCGATTAATATTATATATATTTATATATGTGTACAAAACTGAAAAAAAAACAAAAAAACAAAAAACAACTACCAAAACCAACAACAACAATTATTTATATAATGCAGCCTTTCCCGCCGTTTATGGACAATTTCCACAAGCTTTACCACCACCTCTAGCGGCGGTTGCACCCACTCAACGCGAAGGTAAGCAATTTTTAAATGTAATTGTGTTTTTATCAATGTTTTTGTTTCCGTTTTTATTTGTGTTTAGTGTACATATTCTTTCAAAACTTATTTCTTGATTTATTTTTTATAGTAACTATTAGTAGAAGTAAATTTTGTTTAATATACAGAATATTGTATTGGTTTACAAATTAAAGCATAAACAAATAAGCAAAGTTAAGGCATTATGCGTATGTAGTACTTATACATATGTGGTTTTTTTTATTGTTTTTGTTTGATTCATTTATTCCTTAATTTATTTATTTAATTTTCAACATGATTGATTCCAACAGTTTCATTATAATTATAAATCTGATTGCTATTTGTAATTTGTGAGCTTTGCCGTTGAGGATTAATGATTTGAATAAGAGTTTGTAAATATTTATTAACACAGTTATTAATAATGTATGTATATCTGTTGAACATTGCTTGCGAAGAAAACATAACAACAAACATTTTATACGCATATTATATACTTCAAACATATATATTTTTTATGTTTTTTGGGGCAAGATAAGTGAACTAATAGTTACCGAAAAAGAAAAATTTTAACTTGTCGAGAGATTTGGAAACCCCATATTTATGGTCCGATTTTATATATATTTAGAAAGCTTGCAGCAAAGAAGCGCCAAGTTTTTTGTACTTTTTTGAGCAGAAAATAGCAAGTTAATAAGATTTAAATGGACTTTCGGACATGTAAGTTCACAAAAATACGATTAATCCGAAAAATCCCGAAATGTTCTGAAGTTTCCTGAACGGAAAAATTCCGAAATTTCGGAAAAAATCACGAAAAGGTTCCAAAGGTTCCGAAATTCGTTCGAAAAATACCGAAAAGTCCTAAAAAATACCGAAAATCCGTCAATTAAGAGAAATCTCCCTGTGAAATTCGGAAACATACCGAAAATGTATGAAAACCCCCGAAAAAGTTTCCAAAAAACAAGAAGTGGTCGATCATTCCCGAAAAATCAAAGCGCAGATTCCCAAATAAATCCCGAGTATTCCAGGGAAAATCCCGAGTGAAAGCCAAAAAGTCTCGAAAAAACTCTAAACTAGGAGAAAGCATTCATGTGACCTCGAAATTGCTTAGCCCACTATGTAGCGAGTTTTGCTACCATAAATATTGAATAATTCAGTGAGAACAGGGACTAGCATATTTATATGTATTACTTAAGAGACTTTTGTTATATAACATTTGAGAAGTGCATACGCAAAAATTTGATAAAGGAAATTTTTTCACATGCAGCAAATGCACTTTGGCGTTTGGTATTAGTAGTCTTATTGCAACTAAAAACTACTTAGCTAGCTGAAAGAATATGCTATATAATACGTTCAATAATAAACCCTTTCGAGAGTTTCTCAGCACTGGTAAAATTCCGGGGCCTCTTTATTTTTCAGGCGGCATCTTATATCTTCTAGCGATCCTAATCTAACCTAACTTTTTATTTTTGGCCAGATACGTGCACCTTATTTTTGCAGAAGCCTTGTCCTTGAAGGCCAAGCCAAATTTCTGGAAAATTTCTTGAAACTTCAACTGTAGAATTATCAGAAAAAGCGAAATATATACACCCAAATTCATGAGAGATAAAGAAGACTTTAAAGCTACTTTATTTTTTGCGAATAAGGCGAACAGAATATTACTCGAACTTAAAGCGAAATAGAGATCTCAAGGTCATTTTAATGCAATGAGTCTTAAGTAAATTGCTCAGTGTGTTTATATAATAGTATCGGAAATAAGTTATCCGTTTTCGGCAATATGCAAATTTACAACACAAAAATTAAAAAAAAAATTATCAACTAACTGCCTCTTTTTGTAGTGGTATACATTAGCTGTATTTTTTTCTAAGCGAGCGACATAAGAGCGCTCAACTCGGGTAAAATTTCCTTTTAGCTACTAAAGCGACCCTGCTGGTAGCTGACAAGTTCAACGGGATTTAGACACAAAAAAACAATATAAATTAGTAGTTATGCGAGGTACTTGCGTAATATATCGAGCCCTAACCGCCAAAATAACGTAAGCGACATTTTTTTCAAAACTTTCCTTTTGATGCAGAAATGTATCTAGATGCTCTAGGAATATTTTTGCATCAAAAAAAAAAATTTTTAAAAAAATGTTGCTTACGTTATTTTGGCGGTTAAGGCTCGATATATTATTTCAAATATAAATCATGTGTACATATACGAAAACAAAAATTTCCCTCCACTTAATTAAAATATAAATCATGTGTATACGAAAACAAAAATTTCCCTCCACTTTCCCATTAACAATTAACAATAGAGCAGGTTTTTCACTTAACAACACCACTCTTCAGGTCGCGTATTTTATAACGACCTGGCTGAACTCGGATAAATAGCCGAGTTTGCGTTTTTGCTTTGCGTGTATTTCGTCATTTAAGCGAGTGTTCTTTTGTAGCTCGGTTGCAAAAGAATGGACCTATTATTAAATACCTAGTCAAGTATAATTTTTTTACTTAAAAAGTTTATCGGTTCTAGCGTTGTACATACAAATACATATACATACATACCGCTGTCCATTGTTATTTCCAGTCTTTGCCTAGCATAGGAGCATGCATCGCAATTGTTTATCGGTATCTAGCGTTGTACATACCCTGCAAAAAATGGGACTAATCCGGGATGGCTCCGGGAGCAATCGCAAAGGAGCATGCGACTAATACCACTTTTGATCTCTTTATATGTATTGAACTGATCGCTTTTGTTCGAGCATGTCCTATGAAGAGACTAATTGTTCACCTTTATACCCGAACGGGTATAAAAAGCGACTAGTCACTTTTAAAAAATAAAAATAAAAAATTGCGCCAGCTGAGATTCGAACCGGGTGCTCAGTTTTGTTAGGCGAATACTCTCTCTGTGTGCCAACGTCGCACATGAAATTTCGTTGACTAAGTGCGTACATTTCGTTAAATCGTTAATAGCAAGGAATGAAACCGATTCAAAATAACGTTCCGGTTTGGGTTTCGGTTTTGCCAAGTGTTTCGGTTTCGGTTTTGGTTTCGTTCTTCAAAATTTATTTCGGTTTTGGTTTCGGTTTCGTTCCGGTTTCGGTTTTTCACAGAAATTTTGTTGATATTATTTAAATCACAATGTCTTAAACGTTGAGGAAAGAAAATCGAAAATTACAGTTCACTGATAATATCAACACTAGGTTCTTTCCCTAACAATCCGGACCGGATTTGGTAATTAGAGAATAAGAGAAACATTTTCTTTCAAAAATGGAACAAAGTTCAGAAGTACGGAAACGCAAAAACCCACATTTCGTGCCCACAAGTCGAGAAACAGCTGATTCACGTTGTTCTTGNGTCTTTAGAGATTAGTCGCAGAATTTTTTGCAGGGTACAAATACATACACATACATACATACCGCTGTCCATTGTTATTTCCAGTCTTTGCCTAGCAAAGGAGCATGCATGCCAATTGTCATATTAAGCTTTCATTTATAACTAATAGTCATACTACATACGTATGTATATATTCACTTGCATACAATCACACAATTGTACATATAAATATGTATGTGTATATGTATTTAATAAAAAGAAAAATGGTCATACTCATAATAAATTTCTGTTATTACCTTAAATACACAAGTAGCTGTAAATATTTTAGATGTTATATGTACTTTTTTGTTGCTTTCTTATTACCTTTTCAAAAAAGCATGTATTGAAAATCCAGTTCCTTCTCTTACTAGATGTATCTACTACATTCGAACATAAATATGCTGCTGTATTTTTAAGCATTTCACTTAATTCCCCATTGTAGTATTGAGCAGTTGACAATAACCAGCAGATATGCTCAAATGCATACAAATTTGAAATATTGAATTTGTAAAGGAATAGATGGTAACTGAGTAGCTTAAAATATAGTAATGTCCTTAGGAAAATGTTAAAAGCATTTTGAGAACATATCGAGCCCTAACCTCCAAAATAACGTAAGTGACATTTTTTTTTTTAATTTTCTTTTTGATGCAGAAATATTCCTAGAGCATCTAGATGCATTTCTGCATCAAAAAGAAAGTTTTGATAAAAATGTCGCTTACGTTATTTTGGCTGTTAGGGCTCGATATTCACAAAATTTATTGTAAATATTTTATAGCATTTTATTGTAGCATAGTATGTACATACATGTGCAGTTTTTCTGTTCTGTTTTTTTTCTTTTTTTTGCATGATTTGCTATTAGCTGAAGGTTGTACATAGTCTGAAGTTAGTTTTTGTTTCCACGCTTACATTACACTAAGCCTACCCTCAATAGTTGCTGAATTATACATATATATGTTTGCATCACCACATACATACTTAACTATATGAATACTTAATACTGTAGAAATGAACAGAATCTAAATTAGGAAAAGTTTTTCTAACAGCGTTCGCCCCTTGGCTGGCAATGGCGAACCTATGAATCCATTTCTGCCGTGAAAAAGATTGTCATAAAATCCATTTTCCGTTTGGAGACGGCGTAAAACTGCAGTTCCCTCCATGTGTGTTATAACATCAGGACGCACGTTACAAATTGGAGGAGAAGCTCGAATAAACACTTAGCAAAAGTTTAAGCGCCAAGAATATTATTATTATATTAAAGATTAAGGACCGATTTCATAATAAAATTAAATAATGTTTTAAAATTTAAAGGATCCTTTATTTGATGATCGATTTCATAAGGTCAGTTTTAAGATAAAGGTGCCCATAAAGGCAATTTAAATGAAACAAAGGTCCCTTTTGTAAGAAAAATAAATTATGTCATTTTCGTAGTATATTAACATACAGTATATTAACATACAACCAGCTGATGAAATTTTGTCGATATCAGCATTGCCAACTTTGCTATTTTCATTTAAATAAACCCTTTGTTATTATTCAATTGCCAATGTATTATGAAAGCACTTCTTGTTTAAAGTACATTTAAATGAAACTTTAACCAAAAGGAAACTTTTGCAAAAAGAACTTTACTTAAGTGTTTTATTATGAAATTGGCCCTAATTCTCATAAGTTCAGAATCAAATCAATTTATTGAAAGGTTAGTCGGTAAGACTTAGGCCGTGTAGCGTTGCTACTCCGGGAGAGCTTTAAGCCTATGCTGTAATAGAGCAATTGCTAAGATATTTAAAAGTGTTTCGTAATACAAAGTAAAGACAGTTGACAAGATAGTTCGAAAGCCTTTTGCTATTCTAGCCCAAAAGTCTTAGTAAAATAGCTTTCTCATTCACCACTGGCGGCGAAAATCTATTTTGGGAGAAAGCACTTGTATATTAATTTAGCTCGCGGCAATCCAATAGTCGCAATGGCGGAATGAAAAAAGCATAGGCGTGCCTTTCGAGAGATCCGAGTTGGAGCCTCTGTCAGCGGAATTCTTTATCTGATTTTTTAATTAGCATTTTTTTTTTGCTTGGCCCATGACTCGGCAATTTAGGAATGGCAGTTAACAGACTTAAACTCAAAAAAATATTCTCTGTGTTATATGCTGCGAACAGGAACTACAAATTTTATTTGTTCCATGCCATGGCGGAATTATACCAAGTGAAGTAACTAGAGCGAGAAAAAACATTTTGTCACTGCCTTATTTGAAAAATTGTCTTTAAAATTTGACTATAAGGCAGCCGAATGTCAGACATAAGGCGAGAAAGCTGTTTTATTACTTCACCTGTTTATTGCGCCTGGTTGCATGCAAACATTTTAAGATATTCAAGCAATGTTTTCAACATACATATGTATTAAAAGGCATGCAGAAAACATTCGTACAAAAGCGCTATGTCCAATTTGCCGAGCAGATATTAAAACCGACGCTTTTCCTATATTTTTTTAGATTTTTCATAAGTAAAAATATTTTGTGAATTAATTTTTTAATGCGAATAATATCACATTTTTTTGTTTAATTGTATTTTTGTAATAAACTAAGTTATTTTTCCTTCTGCCAGTAAACTATTTTTGTTACAAATAGTATAAATAAGCAAAGGGAAATAAGGCAAAACTCGCATTTTGGTATTATTTCCCATTTAAAAGTGAAATAAAGCAATTTTCGCATTATTGCCGTTTGTGTTATTTCACCCTCCGCTGTTGTCTACATAGATAAAAGAATCATTTTCTATGGCAGTTCTAGTTCAGGGAGGACCAGGTAGACGTTTTCGGTTGTACGCATTTGAGACATTCTTTTTCATATCGAACACCAAATTTGGTGTCACACTTTCGAATGGCTTAAAATTTGTTTATGGTTTCTATACATGAAATAAGCTAACACGTATTCGAAAACTTATGATTAGATATATTTAGCTTAGTGTTAAACACCGGGTTTTTGGAAAAAGTGAAACTTTATTGCGGATTCCGATAGAATACCTATCCAGAAATAATATTTGCATGGCAAGATTTTTCTTTTAGGTGACAAACCCCTAGAAATGGGCGTGGCAATTGCCGGACTAAAGATAGCAAAACGCAGATATTATTGCGGATTTCGCAGAATATCGCTTCATTAACCACATTTGTTCCACATCTTTTTCAATTCAAGAATTTTATAGAAATGGGGATGGCTATATTAATCCCAAAGGTCATAAATTTAGACTTTATTGGGGATTTCGCCAGAATATCTATAGGTCTGTCACCTTACAGAAAAATCTTGTCATACAAGTATTATTTCCGGATAGGTATTCTATCGGAATCCGCAATAAAATTTAACTTTTTGCAAAAACTAAACCTTACTAAATATACGAGTATCTCATCATAAGTTTTTGAAAATAAATTACAAAAAATTTTTGATTCTCACAAAATAAACCATCTCGTCATAGAGAAAAATTTTATAAAATAGTTCCTGAAAAACCCATGGTTTTTTCGAACCACGTTTTTTATAGAGAATTAAACAAGGATTACGATGCACAGTGCTGTATGAGCGGGCAAAAATCCAAAAAATTGTTGTCACGTATGTCAACGTGTTTGGTATCGTTGGAAAGGAAATTTATCCTAGATTAAGGATCTGGACTTAGTTTTTGTATTTATCTCATAAGGTTCTCACAAAAACCTCTTAAAGTTGTGTGTTTTTTATATATTTTTTCTTTTATGAAAATGCCTTTAGCTGGAGCCTTTAAAAAAAAAATTGCTAAAAATACAATTTATCATACTTTATTTTAAGACACAGTTTTTCTAATTAGAAAATCTGTAAGGAAACCACTCTATAGAGCTTCCTGGCTGAAATGGCCTATTTGCTACACCCTAAAATTTGTTGCAGAAAATTTAAAAAATTCCTAAGTTTACAAAGGGATAAAAAAAAATATGTAAAAGTATGTTTTTTTATTCTTTTATTTGAAAGAAGGGGCATTTTTCTTTGAAATAAAAAAAAAGTCTGCAGACTCATTGCGCTTTTCGAAGAAAATCGTTTTTTTTAAGGTTATAAAATAAACTTTTGCAAAAAAAAATTTCACTGATTACAGTTACCACAGTATTTTCCATTACTTAAATGCCAAAACATTCTTTAAAAATAGTAAAGTTTATTACTGTAGACACACGCGGTAGTGTTCTGTGCTGTGTAGTGAAGCGTAAAATAGTGAAAAAACTAATATTAATATGAATTCAATTATAAAAAACTCAATTTTAGCTGATATCTGGATTTCTACTCGTCCATCAGATAGAGTGTCTGCATTATCTGCATTTTTTGAAGACAAATTAATACACGCTAAATGCGACAAAGCACTTTTGAATCAAAAAATAAAACTTTTTAATAGTGAGATGAAAAATAAGTGGAATTATAGTGGCCGCAAAAGAAGCGCTTTTGAAAAAACATATTCTAAATGGCTA